GGGAGAGAGATAGAATGGATGTAGGGAGATAACTACAGGGTCCTCTATATTCTCAGGATCTCGATGCTTACTCCCGCTGCCACCCAAGGGAATTTAGGCAGAAAGCCAACAGCTAAGTTATTCCTTAAGCCATACCCTAGCTCCCTGAACTGCAGCAGATCTCCCTGGAGCTCATGCTCCTACTCAAAGTCCACTTTTGTCTCAGAGAAGAGAAGAGACTACTCAGGGAACACACAGTCCCTGGCTTTAGCATTAAAAGGTTGTCACTTGGAAGGTGTAGAGGTGATTTGTTTCTTTGGAGGCTTCAGATGGGCATTCCAAAGGGACAGATCTTAGCTAAGCCCAAAGAATTGTGTATTAGAGTGGACTTTTGTGTAGAGGTGTCTATCTTTAGAGTAAAAAGTGACTCTGGAAATAGCTGAGTGAGGCTGAGAGGCCAGTTCTTATGGATGCTATAGAACAGCGGTTCTCAACCTGTGAGTCGTGACCCCTTTGGGGGTCGAACAACCCTTTCACAGGGGTCACCTAAATACATCCTGCATATCAGATATTTACATTACGATTCATAACAGTAGCAAAATTACAGTTATGAAGTAGCAACAAAAATAATTTGATGGTTGGGGGTCACCACAACATGGGGAACTGTATTAAAGGGTCGCGGCATTAGCAAGGTTGAGAACCACTGCTATAGAGAGACCCATTGTCGATTCTTTGTGGAAGAGATGGCAATAGAAAGATGGATAGGAAGGAAGGAAACTCAGAGATCATGGTTTCCTGACATAGCCTCTGGTATAGCTCCTTGCAAGTCCATCCTATCCTGACTTTTTCTTAAGTGAAAGACAGAAGAAACCTTAGCCTTTCCTATTTCTTCTTGACATTTTAAAGTGAGTGATATGTTTTCATATTTTGGGGAACTGATGGAATAACAATTTCCTGTACCTCTATTTTCTATCCTTTATATATCATATTTTGGGGAACTGATAGAATAACAATTTCCTGTACCTCTATTTTCTATCCTTTATATATATTATTTTAGAGAGAGAAGGGAGGGAGAGAGAGAGAAAGAAAGAAAGAAACATCAATTTGTTGTTCCACTTATTTATGCATTCATTGGTTGATTCTTGAATTTGTCCTGACTGGGTATTGAACCAGCAACTTTGGCATATCAGAATGATGCTCTAACTAACTGACTATCCAGCCAGGGCTTATTATTTATATTCTTATGCCCCTTAAATTTCAAGTCATATGTGTTGCCAGTCTTTCCACCCACCTTCATTCTCTTCTTATACGTTTCATCTCTGCTTCTTTCCTAATGGGCTCCACTCCTCCCACGGAGCCAGCCTTCTATATATATATATCTTAGCAGGCTATCCAATTACTTTTCCTTTTTTTGTTATATTCTACCCTTCCCTGCACCAGAAGGCTCAGCTGGGGCATAGTGTTTCCCTACCGCAGTGGGGCCTGGCACAGAGTCAGAAGGCTCACACTGTACACAGTGCTCCCTCCTGCCATGGTGTCCCTTCCTGCTTGGATCTCCCATCTTGAGCAGGAGGAAGAGCCATTGAACCTGAACCCCCTTACTGGTGAGAAGGAAATGAGCACTTTTCTCCTAGTCACATATTTTCCTCTGTATTTCCCATTGTAAAATGTTAAAAGTCCATTTTACTATTTATGTTCTAAAGAAAAGATCCTCTAAAAATCTCCAAATCAATCAAGAGAAAAACTCCAAGCTTCCAACTTCAATTGAACAGGCACAATTAATTAAATTGGGTGCATTTTGGGTCATAGACTCAAACTGAATAGATGGCCTATAGTCAACCAACATTTTAAAAGTAAACACTTATATTTTACTCATTGTGTTAGTTGCCAAGGATTAAAAAACAAGTAATATTTGGTGCCTATTCCAGAAGGGCTCACAATCTAATAATAGGACATTATATGGAAATGTATAATTATAGCAAAATATGATACTGTGAAAGAGGTGTGAATAACACCCTATGAGAAAAAAGAGGAGACAGTCTTTTCTCAGCTCTGCCTCAAGTAGTTTGGGGAAGTACTTTTCATGGCAGCCCTGGTGATTGGATTGAATGAGAAGACTACACTTCCTTTTTATGTTAACAAGTATGAGGGAGATTCTTCTTGCTGCTTCCCTCTATGTGTGATGAGCTCGGGTTCCGCAGGTATACCACAATGATTCTTGATTTCTGACCAGGTCTTTTGCCCAGAATCCTGGCTTGTTCTTCTTATGTTATAAACTAGACCACCTGTAAGTAATTCTGACTTGTCCCCCTTAGATTCAATTGGACTATTTCCCAAGAGTACCACTGCCCCCATGCTTGGGTCTGGTGCTGAGATTCACAGCCCTTAGGAACTCTCTGTCTAGTTGTTGCCTTTTGCTTTTGGAGGCTTTCTGTGTGTTAGTTCTCTTTTGTCATTTCAGCTAGGTCAGGCCTCTGGCACTTGGACAGAAATGGATATATTGGTGACTGTAGTCACTCTGTCATGGGTAATCATGACATTTGCAGCTCTGATTTCTTCTTCCAGAGGGTGTGTTGAAGAGTGATGAGAAAGAAGATTTTATTCTGAAGGAGGAAATTTTTGAGGAGCCGCAGGACCACATGGTACCATCAAGAGGACCCCCGTGGTGTGGGTCCGGGAGATTCTGGTTTGGAAAAACCCATGAAGAGGAGAAATGCAGGTTAGGAAGATGGTGTGACTACCCCAATGGGAGAAGTGTGGAGAACACTACAAATGATATTATGGAAGTGATTGCCAAAGGTGAAATGATCTCAGTAGAAGAGAGGTCAGAAAATACTGATGTTAACACCCACCTGGCTATACACCAGAAAATTCTAAGTGAGCGGGTATTCTGTGTCTGTGAAGAATGTGGCAAGTGTTTTGATCAAACTGAAGACTTGTATCAACATCAGAGAATTCATAATGGAGAGGTTAAGGAATGTGGGAAGACTTTCAGTTTTAGATCACATTGCATTGCACATCAGATAAGTCATACAGGTGTAAAACCCTATGTATGTCAAGAATGTGCTAAAACCTTCATTTGGAAGTCAAAACTGATTCGGCATCAGTTAATACACACAGGAGAGAAACCCTTTGAATGTAAGGAATGTGGGAAGGGTTTTAATCAGAATGCAAACCTTCTACAGCATCGGCGAATCCACACCAGGGAGAAACCATATTCATGTAAGGAGTGTGGGAAAAGCTTTATTCGGAACCCAGCCCTTCTTCAACATCAGCGAATCCACACTGGGGAGAAGCCTTATGAATGTAAGGACTGTGGGAAAGGCTTCACGTGGAACTCAGATCGTTTTCAGCACCAGAAGATCCACACTGGAGAGAAGCCTCATGAATGTACTGATTGTGGGAAAAGCTTCATTTCTAAGGGAAACCTTATCCAACATCAGAGAATCCATACTGGGGAAAGACCCTATAAATGTAATGACTGTGGGAAGGCCTTCCGTCGGAAATGTGTTTTGATTAAGCACCAGAGGTGCCATGCTAGAGAAAAAAACCTATAACTGTCAGATCTCCCACCTTCTGGAACATTAGAGAATACATAGTGGTGATACTTGTTTATGATATTCATGATACAGGAACCCCAGAGACAAAATGAGATGACCATCCACATTTTCTATGGCTCTAATCTGTTTCTCCTCCTGAACAGATACCCTGTACTCTAGCAAGATTGGTCCCCCTGTTCAACCATGTTCATATTAGGCAACATTTAGTTGAGCACTTACTCTGTGCTAACCACCATACAAACATCCTCTAATTTTTCTCAATCTGATTAAGGTAGATATTCATCCCCATTTTATAAGTGAGAAATCTGAGGTTGAAAGGTTATAAAACTCATTTAAGGTTGCTTAGCCTGTGAGGGCAAGAAGAGAGCAGTCAAGAAAACTGGAGAGAAATGAAGCTGTATCACTAATGACAGTATTAAAGTTGTATTATTTTATGTTAAGGACAGTGATTTTTCCCCCCCCTGAAACTACATTGTTCTAAAATGAATATTATGCAAACCACTCTGGTATAGCTTCTTTTGATTTTGCCTTAGCATACCTACCCCACCAACAATGTATCTTATGATGATGCAGTTTCTCGCCAGTAAAATGAGGTCCTAACTCCTGCTCTTCCATATTTAAGTCTTTGGGGAGTGATCAGAGGAGCTCCTATAAAGGCCCCAGGTTATGCATACCACTCAGAACTTGAGATAAAATAACCTTGAAAAGATGTGACCTAAGTTCCACACAGGGACCTTGTGGATCCCGGGGAAGTGTCGGTCTCCATAGGATATGGCCGAGGTCAGGATGCTTCCCCTGGGCCCAGCCTTCTTGGTAGAGCGGTGGTTTTGTGGGAAACAATGGTTGAGCATGAATGTGAGGTAAAAAGAGCTGTAACTCTGAGCTCCATGTGGGGCATCACAGTAGACTGGTAGGAACTAAACAAATGACATCAACAGTGGCGGACAAGTGAAGTTCGCGCACCGGTCAGGACAGTCTAGGAGAGATGCACTGGGCAGCGTGGTGGGCTTCTGGCTGGGGCCTGCTCACCGACCTCCCCTGCTCCCGACCTCCCCTCGTTCGTGGTGGCTCTCTCTACGAAGGACCAAAAAGCACTGCCTTTTTGACATCCTTTGGGCGGGGGGTCTTCTGGATATAGAATAAGATCGCCACTCCGTTCCTCGACTTCCATTTATTCAGCAAACATTTCGGAGGTTCCTCTGTGCTGCGGCCTCCACCCCGTCCAGGGTCGCCCGGCAGCCCCGTTCGACCCCCCTCCAGGCTCCAGATCGCTCTTCCAGGCCCTGAAGGGAAGGGCCCACCCACGGGAGGAAAACACATCCCGCAGGGGATGGGCCAGTCTGTTTCCAGAAGTGGCTTCCGCCTCCAAGGGGCGGGACTACTGAGGCGGCTCCGCAGCTACGGAACCAAAGCTTGGCTTCCGGCTCCCGCTCAGACTCCGCCTCCTTCCGGAGGAGGTGGGTGGTGCGGGTGCCGGACCCGGGCTCGGGCTGGAGGCTGGGAAGAAGACGAGATTCATCTTGCCCGCCCTCCCGTCTCCTAGGTTCGTCTCGCGGGAACTAGGAGAACCACCGAGATGCGGGGTCCTCCAGTTACTAGAGGGACTCTCAGGGACGGTTTGGTCGGCGGGTCAGTGTGAGGAAGTACTTCCGGGGCGCCGCCATTGTTCGCGCAGAGAGTTTGGTTTGGGAGCACCCGCGGGCCGCGTGCAAAACCTCTGATCGTTGGGAGGCTGCGTAGGCCGCTCAGAGCCCAGGGTGAGCGGGTCTGACTCGGCCCGAGCAGGAAGGGGAGGCCCTGCGGGGAGACGAGAGCGGCGGCTGCTGCCACCGGGTCCTCACCCCACCCCCGGGTCCATCCTGTCGAGAGGGGGCGCCCACCTTCGGCTCCGACCCCTTGGTTTCTCGTCCCCAGCACAGCCAGCGGCCTGTTTATTCTTTTTGGGAACTGATAGAATTTGAGGGGCGTTGACACTGAGGTTCGTAAAAAGTCTTGATTGAGCTCCAGGACACGCTATCCACAGAGACTAGGTCCCTCGGCCGTTTCAGCCCCTCTCGTCCCGGCTGCGGAGACCCAGCCGCACCCCCAGCCCGTGTCCACCTTAACGTCTCTTCTCCCGCTCCAGGTGGTCCCAGGAGGCCGGTCTGTGATCACTTTTATCTACTCACCTGGCCTGGTGTCAACCCCATCAGGAAGCTTATTAGTGTCCCTAGAGCAGGCAAAGCCTTGGCAGTGCTGAAATGGTCCCTCTCCCTCCCCCCTCCCCCCTCCCTCTTCCCTCCCCCTCCCCCCTCGGGAATGGAGGCTACTTAGTTCACAAATTGGAGAATGTGGAGTCCTGGATTTGGATTGGCTCATTTGAATGTTTAATCCCCCCCCCCCAAAAAAAACACCCAAAAATCTCATGACGAGTCATATCCATCAAGCACCTAATGTCCAGTGTGTCCAGTGTTTGGCATGAAATTACCTATGTACAGTATTGGAGATAGGGAAAGATTTCTGGACCAAGAAATAACATCCGTTATTTCTCTTGTCATTACATCCACTTAACGTTTCCTCATTGTCTTAACCTAACTGTTGAGGTTGGTGATCAATGGGATTAAGCCGTTGGTCCTGTTAGGGCAGTGTATTGATTGGGTTGTGATTCGCTCCCCATTGGGTTTTTGTTTGTGCTTCAGCTCCCTAGCTGTGCTTTTCCCCATGGGAAGAAGTGGAAGGGAATGTTCTGTAGCAGTGGTTCTCAACCTTCCTAATGCCACGACCCTTTAATACAGTTCCTCATGTTGTGGTGACCGCCAACCATCAAATTATTTTCGTTGCTACTTCATAACTGTAATTTTGCTACTGTTATGAATCGTAATGGAAATATCTGATATGCTATATGTGTTTTCCGATGGTTGCGACCCACAGGTTGAGAACCGCTATAGGGTGGCCAATGCTGCCATTCTACTTTTAGGTCAACAATATGGATCAGACCTTTTTGCTTAAATTATTTTGTTTAATATGTCAATATTATTAAGTATCCACTGCAAGGGACATTTATTACAAAGATATGATGACAATATCATCATTTAAGAGAATTGGAGGACACAGCTACTACAAGGGGTACCCATTTACTCAATCTGAATCACTGCTTTGGTTACCCTTGGACTTAAACCCTCCATGAGTTTAGCAGCATGTCTGCTGTCTGGCCACTGTGAGATGTGTATTGTCACTGACACAAGGCAATAACTGATGAGTAACAGTTGATAGAGCCTCAAAACAGGGTGGATCAGATGGGTGCAGGAGTTATGGTCAGTAGAGTTACTGTTACTAATGCTTGTTTCTTTACCTTCAGCTCCTGAGGCTTAACCGTTCCTCAAGACCCGAATAAAAGAGGTCAGATAATGACAGCAATGTCCTTAACAGCTGGGCCCCAGGTGAGCTGGGTTTCCTCTGTTTCTACATGAATACATATATGTATACACACATATATTTATATATGCATGTATGCTTATATATATATGCACATGGACATTCATATAACTTGTATATACATAAGTATACATGCATGTATATACACATGTAACATTTATATATATAAAATATGTAAATTTCTCAGTGAGGTATTATTTATCTACAATATAAATCTGAACTGTATAGCTCACTTTTTAAAAATATACACACCTGCCCTGGCCAGTGTGACTCGGTTGAGTGTCGTCCCATGCACCAAAATATCGCCAGTTTGATTCCCTGTCAGGGTGGGTTGCAGGCTCCATCCCTAATAGGGAGTGTGCAGGAGGCAGCCAATCGATATTTCTTTCTCTTTCTCCCCCTTTCCCTTCCTCCCTCTCTAAAATCAGTTAAAAGAAAACATATTTAAAAATATATATACACACTTGTATGACCATCACTCATATTAAGACATAGAACATTATCACTACCACAAGTTCTATCATTTGCCATCCCAAGCAGTCCACCCCAAAGTTGACTGTTATTCTGACCTCTGTCACCGTAGTTTAATTTTATTTGTTCCTGAACTTCATGTAAATGGAATCATTCAACATGTATTCTTTTGTATCTGCCTCATTTTGTTCACCAATGTGTTTATGAACTTTACACATAACAGTCCTTTTTAATTGCTGAATAGTTTTCCATTATATGATTATATTACATTTTATTTATTCATTCTTCTTCTTCTGTGGATGGATATTTTTATTGTTTTCAGAATGCAGTGAATAGAATGCAGTGAAAATTCTTGTATATGCCCTTTGGTGGACACGGCGCTCATTTCTCTTGGGTGCGTCTTTAGAAGTCAAATTACTAGGGTATACATTTGATTAGTTTTAGTAGATGCTGCCCAACAATTTTCTGAAATGGTTGTTCCAATTTATATTTTTACCAGCAGTACCTGAGAGTTCCAGTTGTTTCACATTCTTAGCAACACTTGTCATTCGTTATTGCTAACTCGTTTTTAGATTTCCTTTTCCGCACAACCAGTGATATGGAGCACTATTTCATATGTTTATTGGCTACATGGATCTCCTCTTATGTGAAGTCCCTGTTCAGTTATTTTCCCCATTTTTTAATACATCATATGTCATTTTTTTTCTCCTAGTTGTAGTTCTGTATTATGGATATGAGTTCTTTGTCAGCTATATGTGTTATGAAATATCTTCTCCCAGCCTTTGGCTTGCTTTTTCACTCCCTTAGTGGTGTCCTTTGATAAGCAGATTTTTCTCTAGCCTGTTCCAAGTAAGCAGTGTTTTCCTATTGGATCTCCAACCTCACTACCTTTGCATGGGGGTGGGGAGTCATTGACAAATCGGAGAGCTCTGTGCCTGGGGTAGTGGACAAGGAGACAAGAATGAGGGAAGAACTGGGATGAAAGCAGAATTGGGAAATGACAGTAAAATGAGCACCCCAAATAATCACCAACTATTACAAAGTGGGGAGGGGCTGAGAGCTAAGGTGTCAGCCATATCCAGTTCCATATTAGTTCTCTGCCGGAAGCCGTTCCATCCTTGCTGCTTGACACAGTCACTGGAGGGAAGAAACATCTCCACAGCATATGTTCCAAGGGACCTGGCATATATGGCATACTGTTCTTAATATGTTTGCTCCCCTTCTTAGTGCTATGTGTTCTAACCAGGGCCACCTCCCCGAGAAAGGTTGTTTCCACAGGTGGGAATGTTTCCCTGGAGTTAGGGATTAATGGGACTAGGGAAGGGAATAAATCAGTAAAACCCCCTAGTGTTACAGAAATACCGTGTACTACTTATGAGGAACTTAGACTAAGACTGTTAGCAATAAATTTAGGACTTGCTAGGCCCACATCCCCAGGGGTGTACCCACCAGAGAAAGTACCAAAGCCTATGCCCCTAAAAATCCGCCGACGCAGGGCAGTCCCAAGGAAGACCACCAGCAAGGCTAAAAGAACATAACCTTTACTTAGGCCATAGAATAGGAAAATCTCCTTCAGTTATTTCCTTATAGCTTAACAGTAGAGCAGTAGAATAATGACCTTGGAATAGAAATAACAAACTAGCCCTTATAATGAAACACAGAGACTAACCTTTAGAATAGAATGTAGAAACATAGACAATAGATACGATTAAAATCAACAGAGCTAGATAGAGATAAGATTTTTAGCAAAGGTCAGATAAGAAAACAAGGAACTGTAAAAGGTCAAAGGAGGACCCAAAACATACTATGATGTAACTATACAGGCATGCTTATAGAATCAGATAGTATATATGCAACTGTAACAGGACAATGAAGAAGAACCTGACTATGCTGATCATCTGAACACTGTCTCTGTCCTTCATTCTTCGCCAACGCCGTCCACACCTTTGGGAACCCCTGGACCGCTGGGGCTGGACCCCGGCAGTTCTGCTTTTATTATATATGTAATTTCACGCTCAGGCTCAAGCCCAGCTCCTATATAGTAGTCTATTTAGAGGTCACTTATATTGGAAGCTCATGTATTTGATTCTAACTGGGAAAGTATGCTGAACTCTGGCTGCCTTTAATTTGCATCCGCTTTCCCCACACCTTCCAAATTTTACACAAAAACTCACCAGGCAATACTAAATACATACCATTGTAGGTGCCCTTCCCAGGCCTTTCATTGACAGTGTTGACCATCACCAAAGTCCTGAGGCCTGGAAGAGCAGCAACTTGTTGTTTCAGGAACTGGTGTCTTTTGAGGATGTGGCCGTGTACTTCACTGCGGAGGAATGGGCCAGCCTGGGACCTGCTCAGAGGGCCCTGTACAGGGATGTGATGCTAGAGAACTATGCGGCTGTGGCCTCCCTAGGTAAGGCCTCTGCCGTGGGTCTCTGCCTGGGCCCTCAGAAGTTAAAGGGCTCTCTTACACTTAGTAGCTGACCCCAAATGCCAATGTCAAGAGTTGCCAGGTACAGACAGCCCCGGTGTCTGATCTACAGGACAGACACCATAAAAGCTACCCTCCCTCCCCGCCTTAGAGGGGTACCCTCACCCTAGCATTGAGACCTCAGATTATCTTGAGAGAACTCGGCCCCCCATTCTCCCTGTGGGAGTTGCTCCTAGGAGCCATGTGTCTGTTTTCCCCCAGTGAGAATTTTCCATCCCCTAGCAAAGAAGGTAAGACATTTTGTTTCCCTGAAATAGAAATTTGCCTCCCAGGGTATTACAGGTTTCCTTGGGAGCATGATCCTGAGGCTTCTTCCCAGGACCCCTATTTAGGGTACCTCTAGCTCAGTCCACCCAGGAATTGCTCTCCTCACCTCTGGCTACAACTCAGTTGTAGCCATAGGCTGAGGTTGACCTCTTGACCTCTAACCTTTGTGTGTGTCTTCTTTCCTTCAAGCAGCATCACCCAGTTTCAAACCAGCTCTGATCTCTCAGCTGGAACAAGGGAAAGAGCCATGTTTCATCAATCCACAAGGTCAGAGTTGGAAAGCAGACCTTGCAGGTGAGTTGAGCAAGGGGTGCCCTTGCCAGCGGTGTCTCTTCCTTTGCTTTTATTTCATCAACATGAGAGATGTGTGTTTTTTGTGGAAAGCATCATGGAGTACATTGGGATCCTTGCTCACACTCTGACTGGTATGTGATTCCTTGCTCCTATCCGTTTACACCAAGCATGTCAAACTCATCTAACGAGGCATGCGGCCCAGCGGCTGTTTGACATGCTTGCTTTACACTGTAGTAAACACCCTGCTTGAGCGTTTCACACACTGGGATGCTTTTATCCCTGGGGATGTGGAAACGTTTTTCTAAACACTTGTCTGCTTGTATGCATATATGCAGAACCCATGGATACAGACAGGGTGGTGAAGGCTTGGGGCAGGGGCGGGCTGTGGGCGCAATGGGGGGAAAAAGGGACATATGTAATACTTTCAACAATAAAAATTTTTAAAAAATAATAAATACTTGTCTGGTTATGTGTGATCACTTTTTCCCAGTTTCCCTCAGTTTTACAAAATTGGTAAACTCAGTGTAGTATTATTATCTTGTCCACTAACCAACAGAACAGTTAGAAAAATTTATTTTTGCTTTTCATGATAATTAATATATTAAAATTCTATTTTTTCTATTGAAATACTTTAAGGTAGCTTACAGATACTTTGATTTTTCCTTCCCTTTAGGATACAGCGCAAAATTAAGAAGATGTATCCACTTAGCTAAAATGATGTCACATGCCATAAAATTAAAACTTCTTCGGAATCAACTCTTCTGGGAAGACAGGACAAAGGCTTAATTCCTTACATTTAAATACCACTTTTCAGAGTAAGGAGTTGATTTAAGAGCCATCTTAAATGATGTCAAGTATGCATTTTCTTCTTCTGCTGACACATGCATTTCCTAGATTGAATGTTTTTCATTCATTAAAATTGTTCATGTTGATATACAAAGCTTGCTTTCATGTCCTTTTTAAAACAGCTTTATTGAGGTATAACTCACAAACTCTGCAGTTCATCCATTTAAGATGTACAGCTCAGTGGTATTTAGTATATTCAGATTCGTGTAAGCTTACTATAGTCTACTTTTAGAACATTTTTGTTATCAAAAAAGAAACCCTGTATCCATTAGCAGTCACTGACCATTTCTCTTTCCCCCCACGTTCATTTTAGGCAGCCACTTATTTACTTTCTGTTTCTACAGATTTGCCTGTTGTGGATATTTGATATTAATAGAATCATACTCAGCTGGTCATGTTCAGCTGGCTTTCACTTTCAAGTTTCTTTCATTTTGTAACATGCTAGTGCTCCATTCCTTTTATGTGTGAACTAGAGGCCCAGCACATGAAATTCGTGCACAGGTATGGTCCCTAGGCCTGGCCTGTGGTCAGGGCCATCTTCGCTGGCTGCTCACAGCCACCCCACCCCCCCGCTGCCACCCACCCCTGGCTCCCCTTTTGCCATCTGGTGATCGGTGCCTGACAGCTGGGGAAAGGGGCTGAGAGGTCAGCTATTCCCACCTGCTCGCTGGCCCTGCCCCCGCCGCGGGTCGCCCTCTGTGTGTGGGGTGCCGCCCGCATCCCCCACCACCCACCCCCAGTTCCCTGTTCGCCATCAGGTGATCGGAGCCTGCCGGCTGGGGAAAGGAACCGAGAGGTGGTCAGTGCACCTCATAGTGACTGGTCCAGTGGTTGTTCTGGACGTTCCACCTTTAGGGTCAATTTGTATATTACCCTTTTATTATATAGGAATAGAGACCTGGTGCATGTGTGGGGACCGGCTGGCCTGCCCTGATGGGGGCCCCGGATCTGGGTGGGGAGTCCCCACTAGGTGGCAGGACTGGCCGAGGCAAGGGGCCGAGGGTGGTTTGCAGGCTGGCCTCGCCCCAATTGAGGTTGGGGGCGTGTCTCGGCTGGGGGGCGGGGCCGGCCTGGGGAGGGGCCACCGGGGGTTTGTAGGCCGTCCACGCCCCCAAGTGGGGTGGGGTCCTCACAGGGGGGGCAGGGCCAGCCTGGGTGAGGGGCTGTGGGTGGTTTGCAGGCCGGCCACGTCACCAATCGGTGTGGGGGTCCCTGCTGGGGGTGGGGCCGGCCTGGGTGAGGGACCGCGGTGTTCTGATCTCTGGTCGTTCCAGTTGTGATCGTGTTATGGTCCCTGGCTTTTTATATATATAGATACTACCCATTAGATGGATAATATCACATTTTGCTTATCAATTCATTAGTTGATGCATATTTGGGTTGTTTCCACAGTTTGGGCATCTATAATAATAATAGCATAATATGCTAATTAGACAGATATCTTTATGGATGTCGTTCTGAGATGAAGCCAGGGTTGCAGCCGCGAGAGAGGGATCCAGGCAGCCACTATAGCTGTGAGGGAGGGATTGAGGCAGCCACGGCCGCAAGGCTTGCACAAATTTTGTGCATTGGGCCTCTAGTTATGAATAATGCTGCTATGATCATTAGTGTACAGGTTTTAATGCAGACGTATGTTTTCATTTCTTGTGGGTACATACTCTAGATATATACAGGGTGGGACAAAAGTAGGTTTGTAGTTGTGAGTACGCCAAACAGTTTATTTTTTGTGTTAGTAGTTATTAATTACTGTATTATTTTCCATATGAACAACTGTAAACCTACTTTTTTCCCACCCTGTACTCGCTGGGTCATAGGATAATTCTGAGTTCTGTCTCCACCCTTGTGAAGCCGGGTTATTAGTAAGTAGGAAGAACTCAAGACCGAATCAAGGCCTAGAACAGCTTCCACATGGAATGTTGACCACACGGTGGTGCTGTTTACTTCTTCAAATCCACATTATTTAAAACATTTCTCTTGTGTACCCTTGATTCTGGGACCAGCCTGGATGGGGCAGATCCTGCCTGCCAGCCTTGAAGCTCAGTGCATTTCCTCCAAGGAGATCGCTGTCCGTGACTGAGAGCCATTTAAGATACGCATCACCCGAGTGCTCAGAATTCATCTTCAGATCTTAAATGATGTCGTCAGCTGAAGAGTGCCGGCTGACCTGGAGCAGAAGTGATTGGCATTGGGAAGCATGTTGCATTGATGCAGCCCTTCATTCATCCTCTAGACTGCTGCTTGGGTACAGGAACAAGGTAAGGGATCATCATAGCTTTTTCTTTTCCCCCCTTTTTTTCATTATTATTTTTTAATTGAAATTCTTTATTGTTTAAAGTATTACATATGTCTCCTTTTTCCCTCATTGACCTCTCCTCCAGCCGCTCCCACCCCCAGCACAGAGCTTTTTCGAGGGCTCTGTGAGCAAGCCCTTGGTGAGGGTGGAAGAGAAGAGCTGCCATCTGATGAGCACCTGTGAGGTGTTAAGCTCCTTACATTCACTGTCTATTTAAAAATCTCTAACACATTTCACGAGGTAGGCATTCCCATTTTGTCCATGAGGAAACAGGCTGGATGGGTACATCTTTTGGTCCCAGGTTATACAGCCCAAACAGGCGAGATTCCGTTTTAAACCCAGGTTTGACTGTTTCCACGGGTCCCCAGTTCTCTTTCTCCATGTGCTCTGTAAGGTGGAGCCGCGCCCTTGCAGCATTTATAACTAACTTAGGGAGACAAGATTCCTACAAGTATGTTTAATAAAATAAGGCAACAGCAACTTAAAATTCATGAAAGAGAGTTACTTCTGTTGACATGGAAATGGTCGCCATATATTGCTAAGGGAGAATAAGCAAGCTTGTGAATAGCAAGTTAGTCTTCAGTGGAGGCCAACAGTGGGAGGTATTGTGCCTGGGACTAGACAGCACCGGGAGGCTTCCCACTGCTTCCTACCAGCCAACCTCTTCTCAGGGTTAACCATTTCTACTCCATACTATAGGTTAGGGTTATCTGTTCTATTTCCATAGAAAGGAAATAATCTAGTATCTATACTTTTTGTTGTTGTTAATCCTCTAACCCAAGGATATTTCCCCTTGATTTTTAGAGAGAGTGGAAGGGAAGGAGGGAGAGAGAGAGAAACATCATGTGAGAGAGACACATCGATTGGTTGCCTCCTGCACATGCCCAGACCAGGGGTGGGGATCGAATCTGCAACCCAGGTATGTGTCCTTGACTGGGAATCAAACCTGCAACACTCTAACCACCGAGCTACGTCAGCCAGGGTAGTATGTATACTTTTTAAAAAATATATATTTTATTGATTTTTTACGGAGAGAAAGGGAGAGGAATAGAGAGTTAGAAACATTGATGAGAGAGAAACATTGATCAGCTGCCTCCTGCACACCTCCTAATGGGGATGTACCTGCAACCAAGGTACATGCCCTTGACTGGAATCGAACCTGGGACCTTTCAGTCCGCAGGCTGACGCTCTATCCATGGAGCCAAACTGGTTAGGGCAATGTGTATACTTTTATGTTTAGTTGCGTTCCCCACGTTTTGTCTGTGAGATTTATTCATGTTGTTGCATGTAGCAGTGACCTTTTCAAATTGCTGATTGCTATTTCATTGACTGGATATACTACTGGCTGATGGACATTTGGGTGATTTCAGAGTTGGGGCTATTGTGAAAAAAGTTATTATGAATACCCTTTTACATGTCTTTTGGTTGATGTATTCACTCATATCTCTTGAATATTGGGATTGTTTCCAGTTGGGGATCACTGAGAATAATGCTGCTATGAGCATTCTCATTACTGGCTTTTGGTGCACATCTGTAGGCAATTCTGTTGGGCACAGGTCTAGTTTGCTGGGTCACAGCACGTGGATATTTAACTTGAGGAGATAGCCAGAGTGTTTTCAACACGGTGGTACCTCTTGCTTGTTATTGACATTCAAATAACATTATTGGCAGATGTTCCCTGGATTGCATACATGGAGAGAAGGAAGCAGGGGGACAGGGAATGAGAAAGTGCACAACAGAGGTCACTGTAGACATGTTGATTCAGAGTCTCAGGGTCCCCAGGGGAGAGGAAAACCATGGTTTTGGCGACTCCCAGCAGGTCCCTCCAGATTGCCGGCTTGCAGCGCATCTGCACACCTGGGAGGCGGGATCTGGGGATGCGCTCAGGCCCTGAGCTGTGCCCCCTGCCTCCAGCCCTGGTTTATCAGCCCTGGAGGGCAGGACAGTGCCTTCCTAGCACCTGGGCCCCGCTTTAGGCGGCTGCAGCTGCCCCAGGCAGGGCTTTTATTGTGAAAGGAGCTCCCCCTTCCGCGCTTTCGGGGAAGTGGAGAGGCTGGGCCAGGACTTGCCGCAGGGACTTTGCAAACTCTGCAAACGTTCCTAGCTGATCGCGGAGGCTCCAGGCTACGGGAGGGCTCCCGCGGATCCCACGTGCATTTGCCCAGACCTCCTCTATCAACTCCACCCGCAAGCATCCCAGCGCACATCGCACACCCAGG